CGACATGTACATTTACACGGAAATATGACGAATTCGGAAAATTTAAATAGTTATTTAACGCGGGGGTTAAAAAGCAAATTTAGATTTATTTCATTCTTTATTTTCCTTTGAGTATTTCTTATTTCGTATACATTTTTTATCAGCTTATACAGAAATAGAAGTTGTTTTAAAAACAAGGCAACAGTTGAAGAATAAAGAAGACCTTCATGAGTTGTATTTGTGTATTTTGTGGCTTTAAAGTTTTGTCATATTTACCATATTCCCGAGTGTTTTTTATCTTCAACGGATCGATACTTTAAACATTATTGAACAATAAGCACTTTTATACCTCGGTAACTGTAGAGTAATATTTTCGGAAGCTGATATTTGGCCATAGGAAGTTTGATTTAAGAACCAGAGAGATAGAAAAAAAAACCTTTGCAGATTATGAATTATAATTAGTAGAATTCATGAAAATCTTACGATTTTCCTATTTTAATTTTCTGATGAATAGTAATTATGCTAATGATTGAACAAGTTCATCACAAGTTCTACGGCTATAAAACCACACATCAAGATTCCCCTGTTGACTCGTTAAATATTTGAGCTTAATAAGGACACATGGCACAGTGGATAAAACCGTTGGTTAGATCCAGTGACAGGGCCCAAAGAGTGTGAGTTCAATACCCTGTTAAGGCAGTGGAGAACTTTCAGAGGAAAATTAACAGGAGATAACTGATAACTGACATCTATTAAAAACATGGCACGTGGAACTAGAACAGTCTACTCCAAGTGAGCGAAATAAAGGGCTCAGTTCGACATTTCAACCACCTGAAGAAGGCCGGAGCGTACAACGGCCCGAAACATTGTAATAAATAGGGCGACAAAGATGAGGACAGTAGTCCAAATAATATAAATAACGTACATAATACCTCATCTCAGAAATATAGACAGATACTGAGCTTAATAAATTTAACAAAATATTGCAATCGACAATTTTTCCCGTTTGATCATATCTGTTCACGAAACATATCTTAACGTAAATAATGACATATTACGAAATGTTCGACAATTACAATAACGTCCAATAATTAATTAATATATATTAAATATATATTTTTTTTCTATTTATACGTTATTTATATAGATATAATTTATTTAAGTAAATGTTCCATTATTTAATTAAACACTATTAATTACATTTACCGGAATATGTACTTAATTGTCTTTTAATAAGTCTTTGCATATTCCCAGCATTGGAAGCTCTCCTAGTTGCCGTTTAATCTGGGCTTTTCATTGAACGGGACTTTCTTTTCCTCACTGCAGCCTTGAATCTTTTAAATTTTAATCTTTACCTGTTGGTGGAGATTTCTTTTCGCAAGGCATACCGCTGCTGTATGCGATAGGCAACAATAAACTACAGAAGAACTCAAAACTGGTCGCTGCATTTAAGTATTGCATTAATATTTATGCTTATCTTTTCAAAGTTCAAAGATAATTCTTTGGACGCCACTTAATTTAAAGACAGTTTAATGTACGTAGGTCCTTACTTTCTGTACAAACAATTATTTCTATTTTATGGATGACTTTCGTTGGATTTCGCAATTAATTTCAATTATTCCCAAATTTATTTACAAGTTATAAAAAAAATGTTGTCGAATAAAAAGTTCGTCGCAAAAAAATCACGTAAAAAAATCGCTGAAAACAATCCCAGTAATAAAAGTCATGGGAATCCAACATCTCAGGATTGCGGGTCCGAATCCGGGCCAGAATGTTTTTAATTTGCTCGCAGAGTCGGCTTGATTCCAAAATGGTACGATATGTTGGGCTGCGGCCTCTAGAAGTAAAGTTGAAAAAGTGTGGCACACTGACATTTGAATATATTTATATAGATGGAATCACCCGTTTTACATGTTTGGCTGTGAGACTTGATCTAATGGTCTCATTAGGATAGTGATTTTCTAAGCGCTGCTTATATGTGGCACAAGGCTGGAAGCATGGAGCACCCAGTGAGGATCGAACTCAATACTCAGTCGCAATATGCATTAGCAAGACAAGCTTGCTAACCATTACACCGCTTCGAGTAGCCCAAAGATCTGATTAGGATACTTGAAAACATGTTTTAACTCTATTTTCTTATTTGTTCTACTCAGTTAGAGAGAATCATATTATTTTTATGAGCGGATTAATCCCCATGAGAAAGCCATAGGATTAAGCGGCTGTTACTGTATCATAACAAGCCAGTAATTCTTCTGCTATGTGCCGTGTTCCTTCAGGACGTGATCGATCATGGCTCTTCACAACTTCCCGTCCTTTATAGCCCTTATTAAAGTATGTCTTTTTGCTATCTCTCCTAATCCCTATTCTGCCAATCATTTACACAACGTCCTTAATAGGCTACTCGCTTTTTCCCCAGATCCTGGCTTTCAATATGAGTGTCAAATTTTCTGGGCACTTTCCTCATTCTGTGCCCTGTAAATTACAAGTATTCCTTTCTGACGCTACTTATAAGTGTACTTTTCGTTACCATTTTCTCTAAAACTTCGCCGTTTTGGGTAAGACGATAAACTACATCCGCGTCCTGGTTAAGACGATAAACTACATCCGCGTCCTGGGTAAGACGATAAACTACATCCGCGTCCTGGGTAAGACGATAAACTACATCCGCGTCCTGGGTAAGACGATAAACTACATCCGCGTCCTGGGTAAACTACATCCGACAGCAAGGCCTTTGATCAGAAGGTTTTGAGAAGCATGGAACCACCTCTTAATTGCTGGTGTTCCCAGGTCCATCCTGACTCAGGGTGGTAGCACCCTTCAGGATCCCAGCTATGGGCAAATAGTTAACCCTCACCAAAGGGGATCAAAACACTATGAATATGTATTAATACCATCAATACTTGTGTGGAAAGATTATTACTAGCAATACATTTCTGAAAAAAATTACAAGCAATACCTTTTTGGAAAAAATTATTACCAACAATAAAACTGTTATCGGCATTAAATAACCCATTGAGATTGATATCCCATAAGACAAACCAAACCAAACTAAAATTTCGTCGTTGGTCACATGCTCAGTCCATTGTATTCTCAGCATCCTTCTGTAGAATCACATCTCTTCTCCATCTGTAATGAGTCTAGCATTCAATGCCATAAACTAGTACCGATATGAAATAACAGTTTCTTTGTTTTCAATTAATTTTTCACCTTTGTTAATGCTTTGGTTATCTTTTTGAAGGCATCTTTCATTAAACCAATGCTCCATCAGATTTCAATTGTTGAATTTTGGCATCTCCAATTTTCAACCTGCATTTTTGGCTCCTTATTTCGCTGACATCTATGCATTCTGTTTTCTCACAATTGATGTTTAGTCTTTCTATCTTTCCTCGACTACTGTCCATAGGAGTTCCAGTGGCGTTCTTTCTGTGTCTGTTATGAACACTGTATTAACGCCATTTCTAATGTTTTAGGATTGTGACTGTCAATAATATATCCTGGTAGGGCTTCTAATTCTCTCAGGATTGCTTCACTGTAGAGGTGTAATAAGTCCGGTGAGAAGATACATCCTTGTCTTACGCCCCTTTCTATGTTCCTGTTTTTACGGAATTCATTTTCTATCATCATGCAGGCTGTTTATACCCAGGATAAGTTCTGCACATCTTGGAATATGCTTCTCAAATAAATCAAGTTTACCTAGCAGTTTTAACAATTCTTTGGAGCGTATGCCACACATGTTATAACAAACCACCGTGATTGCTTTCGTATTCCATTGGTTAGATGTAAGTTTGCAGCAAATGAAAAACGTATCAGTCATTTGCTTTATTTTCTTTTTGTTTTTTTTAATTGGCTGAGGTGAATAGCACTTGACAGACTCTTTCTATTTGTGCTATTAAATTTATTGTAAGCATTAATGGCTGCAATCAGTTTTATCTGCCTCTCTCGTCCGCGACACTTTTAGGCAATTCAAAACAGCTGTTTGGGTATCAACCATTGGGGTCAGAACCAAAAAAGAAGGAATCCGTGTGCCAACACAAAGCTCAATCGAATATCTGTCGTAACAGTCCAGCAGGTAACGTAGTAATGAAAAAACGGGGTCAGAAATCCAACCTTTACTTCGCAACATCACAAACGCACTAAGCTCAAAAATCGTTCTCCCCGGTAAGCAAAAAAAAAACAACGGCCTTTATTCAACGAGCCATTTTTCTGATTGGCCACGCCATTCAGGAAAGAAAGAGCGTTAGCATAGTTTTTTTGATACGTAAATTATCAGGTTTTTACTAACTATTTTCTTTAATTCTTCCTCGGTAGACCACACACAAAATACGAACTCTTTTTCAAGGGAGGTAATTTTCTCTTTCGCTGCAAAGTTCTCCTCAAACAGCTTCTCCTCTTGAACCACTGCTTTGTGAAAAAGACTTCCAAGAAACTACCCCGATCATTACAATGTTAACCTGTTCTCATCTAGGATTAACCGTTATCTTTCCCCACATATTCCCTGTGCTTATTACTCTGTAACCCTCTATCATTACTCTACTTCGAGTGGCTCTTAGGCATTGTATAGGCGAAACATGAGTTAAAAAAAAACTTGCCAGTTTCTTTTGTATGATTACGAAAAAGTATAGTAAATTAGAATATTTTTATGAATATCAAAATTGCTTTGTGGAAAGTAACTTTTTCTGTTAGTGTTATGCGTACGAATTAAGCAGTTTCTATATTCACTACTTTAGTAGTAAATTTAGTAGGTTAGTTGCTTTTGTTTATCGGCATATAAACACCTCTATGGATTAATTAATGCCGAAATCTTAATATTTTGTATGCAATATATTTTTGATATAATAATGAATTTAGTGATACAAGTCTTACTAATTAACCCATACTTAGGAGAAGGGAGCGGATTCATAACTTTCCCAAGAATATATGAGCGTCAGCGAATACAACGAACCTAACTAGAATTGGAACTCAACTCTCCGATTAACAATCCCGAGCCATTATCCATTAAACCATCCGCGCATCGAAGCTTACCCCAGCTGGTATTCCCAAGTGGTCACCTATCTAGATACTGACCAAGCTTGACGTTGCTTAACTTCGTTGATCGTACAGGAACCGATGTTTTAACATGATTTAGCCGTAATTTTAACTAAGGATATAGAAAGTATTTTTCCTTTTCCAAATCATTAAATCTTTGAAATAATTTCAGATAATTATTCTCCTTTCTTACTTTTATTTAGATTCTTGATTTAAAATCAGCGAAAGGTGTTTAATTATCCTGTGCAAATAAACAGACAAATACCGAAGAAGATCAAACTGAAAAAAAACGTCCTTCAACAATCCTACAAAATGTATACATGTGATACGTTTTTGCCCAGGCCTCACTAGCGTCGGCATTTCGAACAAGCGTTGGTCAAGATCGAAATATAAGTCATGGTAAAGAACAATCGGCTGGTTTTTAAAATACTGGCCAAGATGCAAATGTTGTTTTCGCGCGCGCCTTGGTGTAATTAGAGGAAACAGGAAGCTGGGTCTTCAAGCCTCCGCCTTTCATGACTGGCCGGGATGGACTGACCGAGCGGCCAGCCGGGCGGCCGACTCCGCCTAACCATTCATTTCGAGAAAAGAAGAGAGATTTTTGGATTTAGTCCAGAGCCCAAAATGCGGCCAGGATGTAGGATTGAGAAGTGTCGATTTATTTTGGCGAGTAACAAGGCTTAAATTAGAATAGGGGGAGACGCGTTGTGTACGACACCAGGATGCGATTTCTCTTTCACTTTCACTTTCAGTTTCACTTTCACTTTCAGTTTCACTCTCTTTTATTCTATCTATCTATCTATCTATCTATCTATCTATCTATCTATCTATCTAAGCAAATATATAAATAAATAATAATACTTTCTATGAGAACTAGCAATTAATATACGTAGAATTATGTAATTTAAAGTATATCAAAGTGAACAGTTTGTGACAAGAGCTATAATTACTGAATTAGATATAATAACGTTCAATACTTATCGATGTCGTTTCTGAGTTTTGTAGTTTTTTTTTCTTTCTTAATCACTCACCGAGACTTTTCTATCTATCTTATTTTTATATATATACGCATATTTATATAGGCTGAATTTTCAAATTTATAATTTACCGTTACAATGTTCAAGGTTGTAAGTTATCTATAACAATTTAAAAACCAAATAATCGCTGAGTGATTACAAAAGAATTACGAAACTCAGAGTCGACATCGATAAGTGGTGTACGTTAGTCATACTACTACTACTAATAATAATAAAAATAATAATAATAATAACAATAATCAAATGAAAAAGAAAGGAGCGAATACATACGTCGAAGAGAGAAGTTTTGTTGAAGAATCCATACTGTTTGAAATACGTAAATGACTATTTTTTATGCGTTTTTTTTATCAATTCAACCCAAGCAAGGCGAAAGCGCCACTAAGACGCAAGGGGCTACTGCAATTAAAAAAGAGAGAAAAGACTTTAGAAGGAACCGGAAACCAAAAAATAATATAAAATTCAGAGTTTAGTTATACTTTCAGAGTCGAAGTAGAATTAAGAAGAACCAAAAACACAGTCCTAAACAGAAACCAAGGTACAAACCTCGACTCCTGTTCAAAAGACCGGGAGGAGTGTGAACCGTACCTATCTACTCCTTTTGTGGAAAAAAAATGAAAATAAATAAATAAATAGTATAAATTCCAGCGTTTACTTACAAGTATAGTTTTGAAGTCGAATTTAGAAGAAACTGGAAACCCAGTCCGAAGCAGCAAGCAAGGAATTAAACCTCCCGTTGAAAAGACCGGGGAGGAGTGCGAAACGGGCGAGAGGTGAATTTATCTACTCCTATTAACTATTAGTACGTTCTGAAAGAGACAGATTATTATAATGATAAGTCTTTGGAGATTTGTAAGATTCTACTAGTGTTTGTGACGAAGTAACTCATCTATCGAAATAACAGCCATATCACCGAAAAGTATCACACAGAATACTTACCTAACCTCTTGCACATGTCTACGCAAAACCACACACACACACACACACACACACACACACACACACACACACACACACACACACACACACACACACACACACACACAGGGGACAAGGTGTGGGTTGGTAAACAGCGACTATTATAGCTATATAGCGAGACTCTTCGCAGATGCGAATCGAGTCACTGTCGGTCACTGGGCGTGTTTCTAAAAATAAATACGCTAAAAAAATCCACTTTCATCCCTACCGTGCGCCGACGGCTTAATGGTTAGAATCTCCGACTGACACCAATTCAGTCGGGTTTTGATCCTAGCTAGAGGCAACCGGATGTCTAGCCACACTGATGAGCAGCGAAACAGTCTGTCTGTGGATGACGTTATATATATATATATATATATATATATATATATATATATACATATATTGTGTATATGTAGGCAGCAATTTTTCATCAAAGATGACAATTACTATCAATATATCAAGCAATACACAGACGAAACAATAATGATTTCAATTTTTTCATGCAGCAAGGGCGGACTATCATTGTTTGATAATGGCTTATGTAAGCCGAAAGCTTAGGTTGGATTTAAACATGTATCAATATGGTGTTTTCCTTTTGTCTTTCAACGATAATGTGATGAAGCTTATCAAACAACATGAAAGGATCTGACTTAAAATAAATCGACAAAACTTGTCAATATTATTCAATGAAACATGTATTAATATATATATATATATATATATAGATAGATAGATAGATAGATAGATAGATAGATAGATAGATAGATAGATGTTTCATTGAATAATTGTAACGCTGTACGACCACTGTGGCAAGCCTTACCAGTGAGCAAATCAAGGTATTATAGACTGTCCCGGAAACTCTCCTGGTTTAAATCCAGTAGAGAAATGGTTAATCTGAACTTTGTGGAATGGACATACGAAGTACTAACATGTGCACCGGCTCATGTTTCATCAGAGAAATACAAAAAAAGGGTGAATATTAACGGAATTTATTCGTTTCTTTTCAATTAATTTGCACAAGGGTGTAAGTAGATTAGAATAAAAATAAATTGGGTAAAAAATTCGATAGAATGGAAATAGGGTCCAATAGAATAGATGTCAAAGAATGGAAATAAAGTTGAGCAGAAACAGGAGAGTATAGAATAAGAGGAAATAAAATAAATGTAGCCGAGATGTAAAACAAAATGGGACGGAAATAAGAAACAAAAATGGGACGGAAATAAGAAACAATAGAAAAGAATAGAATTGGAATAGAATAGACTTCAAAGAACAGAATAAGAGAGAACAGAAATGCCAAAGGGAAGTAGAATAGAATAGACATTCAGTCGGTCAGTTATACTTAGGCGATCATGTATCTTTCGATACCTGACTGACGTCAGGAATCGAACCTGTATCCTACAAAGAACCGTCATATAGCCTGACGTGCTTTAAAGATTTAACCACAGGGGAGCGTTTCGGTTAGCAAGGTCAATTTTAATGTGTGACGTCATTTGTTTACATTTGGATACGCATCGGGCAGATATGAATTTACGAGAGAAAATCATGAAGAATTGTAGTTTAAAAACAGTAAAATCGCCCTTGCTAACCGGATCGCTCCTCTGTGGCTCAATCGGTAAAAGCACGTCGGGCTATATGACGGTTCTGTATAGGATACAGGTTCGATTCCTGTCGGACAACGCATATTTTCCATAAATATTTCTCGGACATTCAGGCCGGTGAATGTCGTTAACACTGTTTATTATAAACAGAGCATTTACTTAAATATTTGTATCTATAAAAAATGTCTTACTATATATATATATATATATATATATATATATATAGATAGATAGATAGAGAGATGTACGGCAAATGTAGCGCCATTTTTTTTTTTATTAACTTTTATTGAACAAAAATAAATTACAGTAGATTAAGACGGCTTAAGATTAACTATGGCTTACGCGTTGACGAATGGTTAAATCTTAATTTCGAGTTGAGGTGGATAGGACGTCGTGGAGGAATTGAGTGTCAATCAAGATCATCAGAACACACACCACACGACTTTATCTTGTTTACAGGCTCAAACCGGAAACAATTCTTGAATTAAAACAAGAAATGTCAGGTAAATTTTCTGGAATTGAGGGAGAAATGGCTTAAATGGTTTATACAAGCGTTGCTGATAGTCGTTGTATTGGAGATGATGGGGAAAATTTGGAATATGTGAAATAGTTTGTTAATTATAGCAAATCATGTTGACTTGATGTGACAATGCTCATAAAATTTCTTAAACTACTGCAATTTATTTTAAAAAAAATATATAGCATCTCTCGAGATATTCAAAATATCGAAATAATTTCTCTATAAAATCTCGTATTGATGGAAAGAAAGAGAGAGAGAGAGAGGGAGAGAGGGACAAATAAAAACCGTTGTGAAGAAAAAAAGAAATAAAGAAAAATTGTTCTGAAGAAAAACAAAGAAAGAAAGAAAGAAAGTGAGAAAAATATAAAGCGTTGAAAAGAAAGAAAGAAAGAAAGAAAGAAAGAAAGAAAGAAAGAAAGAAAGAAAAATAGTTCTGAAGAAAAAACAAAGAAAGCGAGAAAAATATAAAGCGTTGGAAAGAAAGAAAGAAAGAAAGAAAGAAAGAAGAAAAATAGAAAGCGTTCTGAAGAAAGAAAGAAAGAAAGTGAGAGAAATATAAAGCATTGGAAAGAAAGAAAGAATAGAAAACGTTCTGAAGAAAGAAAGAAAGAAACAAAAAAAATTTGGAAAAAAGAAAGAACAAACTGAGACTGCATATATATATATATATATATATATATATATATTTATATATGTATGTATGTGTGTGTGTGTGTGTGTATATATATATATATATATATATATATATATATATATATATATATATATATATATATATATATATATATGTATATATATATATATATATATATATATATATATAACACGCATTATGTTAAACTTGCCTGTCTTCGTTCTCTCCGCGTTTTCTTCCTCACTGCTTCATTATCTACCCTCATCCAGAAAAATGTCTTTCAATTGTTAAGAACTTCAGCTATCTTTCATTTTATATCTACTTCTATTTCTATTTTCCCTTTGCCATTGGTAATTGCTTTTCTCTAAACTTTTCCTTTGTTATATTTTCGGCGACATTTTTTATCATTTTCACTTTTCTTCGCCATTCGCTTTTGAGAAACGAAACAAAAGCGAAACGAAACAAAAGCGAACATAAACGCATTGCAAAATAGTAAAAAGGAGAAGAAAAAAAGACGTCAAATCCCAAAAGAAAGAATCGAAATCAAAATAATGTCTTTTGACATCAAATCATTTCCGGTTGACTAGACAAAGATGGCGGCGCTGGCCACAGTTGACATCCGGAATAACTTTAAAAAACAGAAATTACGTACGAACGTCATGTTTAGTATACTAACGATTCTCAAGAGGAGACAATAAAAGAAAGAAAAGGCAAAAAAAAAATGGATGTAAAGAATGAGTTGCGAAAATTTAAAGAGTAAATATAAAATATAAATGAACAAATATATTAGATTGATGCGTTAATGTTTCCATATCTATAGCTGGCCACTCGTTTTCGAGGACACTTGTCTACTAGGGCGGCTAGCCAATCCCTATTGCAGACGCTTGCTCAGACACATTTGTGTTTGTTCAACACCCACAGAGCCCACCTGTGGTTTATACTGCAATTATGCTGAGCAGACCTTAGTCACAGTTTCTGGGAGAGAGTATGTTATCTAGTGTAATCAACAATTTGAACAAAGCCAGCACACTCAAGCCCTCGGTCACGATGACTTGTGACTTCGTGCTAGCACAGATATCGAAAGCCCCCAAGGCTACCCAATTTCTCTCACAAGACTTGGATCAACTTGTGGTATGGTTTTCAGGAACTTTCCAAACTTGTCGCACGCTGAAATCGTCCCCTCCAGGCCAATAACAACAGACAGACACCTTCCTAACAAATTGACCAGAGTGAGATTCGAAACCGGGACTCGTGGTCAGAAAGCGGACGTTCTAACCACTCGATTGAATTACCTATCCATCGTACAGCTACACTGCCGAATCAGTTGATTCAAGCCCAAGTCAAGAAAACTTTGGCTTTAAAAAATTCCAAATACCTTCCCCAAGGAACTGGAGCTGCCAAAACTTCATTTCCTGCAATATACGTTTGGCCAGAACATTTATTTTTTTTTTTGCCTTTTATGGAGGTAAGAATATTGTCACTGTTATCGACGCTGGATTTGAAATCGGCGCGTCGAAATTTCTAGGATGTATAATGAGGAAAGAACGCTTGGAAAATTTAACTCACTGAAGGCACGTGGGGCGGAGGGAAACAATAAGTAACTTACCCAACTAGCATGCGTAAATCGATGGCACAGCAAGGAGGGGTGTGGATGATAAAAAGATAAATATTGCAAAGAACTATAGGAAGTTGTGGAGAGCAATGACTAATCACGTCCTGAAAGGATAAGGCAGATAGAAGATGATTAACAGTGGATTATTGTCTCTGAATAAACTATTTGAATAGAAAATAATGACATGATCCAGATGTTAGCGTTCAACACGACTTAAAAGGAAGCCACCCCATCAGTAGTGGAAAGATCAATAACAGCTCGACCTTGGTATAACGATAAACTACATCTGCGTCCTGGGTAAGATGATAAACTACATCCGCGTCCTGGGTAAGATGATAAACTACATCCGCGTCCTGGGTAAGACGATAAACTACATCCGCGTCCTGGGTATGAGGATAAACTACATCTGCGTCCTGGTTAAGACGATAAACTACATCTGCGTCCTGGTTAAGACAATAAACTACATCTGCGTCCTGGGTATGACGATAAACTACATCCGCGTCCAGGGTAAGACGATAAAGAATATCCGCGTCCTGGGTAAGACGATAAACAACATCTAACCGCAAGTTCTCTCATCTGATCTTCGGGAGCATGGAACCACCTCTTAATTGGTGGTGTTCCCAGATCCAGCCTCACCAGGAGTGGTAGCACGTGTCAGGGTCCCAGCTATGGACAGAGTTAACCCCCAACACACCCAAATTGTTATACTTTCATAGTATGGAAAAAACTTTGAAAGTATAAAAATAGGTTTTCACACCAGCAATACTTTTTTTGAAAAAATATTACCAGCAATACATGTATGGAAAAAAAAATTACCAACAATAAAAATCTTGTCGGCATTAAACAACTCATCGAGGTTGATAAACCATAAAAGAAAAGAAAAGAAAAGAAAACAAACAATAAGAGTGGAGTTGTGAAGCCTATTTTCCGGAAAAAACTGTTTTAATGGAAATATATAAATTTCACTCGGCGATAGTATTGGTTGCTTGGTTAATGAATAACGGCCAATGTTATAATTTACCAAAATTGTTCTCAAAAAAAAATTCTGTATTGAATTAATGTTATATTTATTCTTTTATCTTTTTATTGACATCGTTCAAGTCAGTTTTTGTGTCTATCATAATTGTTTTATAGTTCCTCTTTAGTACGCTAGATTTTTTGTATTTTTTGCTTTTTGTACAATATAAAAGCAAAGATGGATAAATGCCATTTTCATATCTTTGTGTTCTATGAGTTCAAATTGAACTAATTACAATCCCGAAACGACTGGATCATCATGCTTGCGGCATAGAACTGACTGATGGTTCCCCATATTCCTTTCCGATGATCTGGATCTCCAAGATAAACTTGGTTGTGTGGACAGAAAAAATGAGAGTACACTCCCCCCACATCCCACGGTAAGAAGAAATCTGACACAAATCGAGATACCGAATTCGAATTCCAGTCAGGCTCGACATTTACGCGTAAGTACTCTTGGGAAATATATGAATCCATCTCTTTCCCCCAACTATGGTTAAATAGTAAGGTAGATAGCGTTCTCTGGATACCGTTTGTAACCAGTTTAGAAGGCGGACAACACTGAATTCAAAATCTGAGACAGATGGAAAAATACGGGAGCACATAGAGTCTTGTGTCACTCAATATGTGCGCAACCCAAAAGCCTATGACGGGCGTGACGAAAGACAAACTAGTTAGTTGATATTTTCAGACCGTGTATGAATAAGGAGAACGGGACGTAGTAGCTGGTGAGAGGGGCACCTTGCGGACTATTTTGAAAAGTGGATGGAAGGATAAGTACTTGAGATTCCAAATGAAATACTTTGAAAAGTTTTCACGGGAAGACTATTTAAACATTAGTATCAAATGACTTGATCCTTTGTGAACGGACCACAGGAAGTAATAAACAAAATCACTGCAATTTGAACAGTGCGACCAATACAAATGTGTGATTGATATTTAGCTGAATGTTAACGATAATAGAGAAAACAACCGTTTCCATGCAGGAAACATTCGTCTTTCGTTGACTGAAGAGATGGTGTTACTTTTGGTTGGGACTAATCTTATCAAAAGAATTTTTCAGAAAAATAAACTTCCCGAGTCCACGAAGTGTTATAGCTCTTTCTCGTATTGATGGGAGTTTCCTTCCTAAACTTTTGTTTAATGTAGTGTAAAGGTTTTAACATCTTCATTATATCAATATTTTCCTTTTTAGCGCTAACCATTTTGTTGTTTGTTACTGTTTGTAGTCTCCCAAGAGGTGTGCTTTTTGTTATTTGGTCAAGATTGTAGAATCTCTGAAGCATTGTCTTCTTTAAGAGCTAAAGAATTAATTCCGGAATTACAGAGAATAACAGTTTAAAACTGATCGCCAATGATTTACTGGAAGAAAAAAAGCCCAAATTACGAATTATGAATGAAATTACCAGTCGTGAAGATTAGAATGCTGCAAATCCATTTACTTTTACTGTGGCGAAAACTGGATCAAAATCTTTGATTTAAATTCACAGCTTAGGTTTATAAGTTTTGCAATAAGATTATATTTCAATCCGACTATTACTTGATCAAGAAATTTTTACAAATTTATCATTTTGCTAACAAAGGTACGATTCTTTGTGATTCGGGTATCTTATAATCCGACTAATATTTGATCGTACAGTTTGTACAAATTTTCTATTTTGCTAACAAAAGTACAAGTCCTGTAAACCGACGATCTGTAATTAGGTTACCTTTTAATCCGACAGATATTGGCTCATACAGTTTGTACATATTTAGTATTTTACTAACAAAAGAACGAATTCTGAAATCCGATGCTCTGTAATTCGGTTATCTTTTAATACGACCAAAATTGGATCAAACATTTCGTAAATATTTACTATTTCCTTTTCTAAGAAAGGTAAATGTAGAAGTCCTCTATTCCGAACTTAGTAATCCGGATCACTTTTAATCCGACCAAAATGGATCAAAAGCATTCTTATAAAAACTTAGTGCTTTCATGTGTTGCAGTTAATCGGTTATATTAAAAAAAAAAAAGAAGTTAAATATATAATCAGTGAGTCGGAAATGCGCCTTGAGATTTTACTGTCTTCTAAATCCAGTAATCCATTGACCTGTGTTATCTAATAATCCAGCCGAAGAGTGAATCTCAGTTGACTAAGGAAATTGTGAGATCAGACGTCGAAAAAAGCTAGCTAGCTGGCTAGCTAGCTAGCTAGCTACATAGATAGATAGATAGATAGATAGATAGATAGATAGATAGAAGAAAGCAAGAAGCCATAAAGCATCAAAGATATTAAATAAAATGAACCTAGGTAGATATGTTATGGATATAGATAGATAGATAGATAGATAGATAGATAGATAGATATTTTCTCAGGTCATCATGACTCCGCTCGAGGACAAATGAATGGAACTCGTATCGTTTCAAGTGCGATACAGTTTAAGCCACGAAAATTATCATTTAAACAACATTCATATTATGATTACTATAACTAATCGGAAACACATTACTATCACTCGCCATTACATTCACAAACACACACACACACAAACACACACACAAACACAAACACACACACACATATATATATATATATATATATGTGTGTGTGTGTATGTGTGTGTGTGTTTTATTTTCTTTT